TGATTCTGTTGCAACAACTTCTAGGTTTTTGTCAGTATAATTAATAATATGAAAATATCCCTAGTGCTGTGCTTCTAGTGAATTCCTACATTTAAACCCCCAAGTGTCAAATTCACAATAAGCTAATTAATACTTATAAAGAGGCTACTTGCCTACTGAGTAGAAAAATACTCATTTCACACCTTAAATACTATAATACTATTTAAATGCGGTGGCTGGCCCTGCCAACTATTAAAAGCCTGCGCTCACATACCTGTAGTAACCTGAGCTTTTTTATCTGCTTTTTAATTACAATAATGAATTAATAACCTAACACTACCATGGCAGGCACACTGATTAAAAATATTTAAGTTTAATTCAAATAAGTATTTAATTGTGGGTAAAGTGCATTAAGGAATCATTTTCAAAATAACTATCATTCAATAATACTCAATAGATACATTAATTATTCAAACTAATTCAAGGATAAAACAAACTAGAAAATAATTGCTGTCTTCACCTAAAACATCTTAAATATTTATGTCCACTATTTACCTATGGATTAGTTGAACTAAAAATGTAAAATATAAGTCATCAACAAAGGATTACACATTTGAAGGAAATTTTTCTTCCTTCAAAAATATATCTTTTTTTCCTTTTTGTCTTTGGTTTGTATTGCATTTTTAATACTTAATAAACTATCATCATAGATTTCATATATATTTTCATAATTAACATTCCTCAGGTATATGCAAGTCCATGAAATGTTTATTTAACTAATCTTTTAATTCAGTTTTTCTCGGTTTTTGTTTGTGAATCATCTATGACATGTTCAGCCATAGGGGATTCTCCTATTACTTAATATGTCAAAATTTCACCCGCTTTATATTATACTTCAAGGTAAAAGAAGGATTTGGAGAACTGCACATTGTATAAGGTAGCGATGGCAACCGTAGAAATATATGACAAAGCAAATTATGAGCTTTTAACTGCTGTTACAATACCCTTCCTAGAACACCATCGGAACCATAAGCCTTTTTAGTAATTGGTGACACTTGAACAAACTGATTCTTTATACAGACCCCCCAAAAAAAAGCATGTTAAGTATTTCACCTGCCATCTAATTTTCGAATTCATAAATAAACTGTACAAACTTTCTTCATTTACTATATTCCTTATTTAAGGTGGCCTCATGTACAAGGCTCTTCTCTAGATGGTTTAAAGGCCTGTCTGGGACTTAAACAAAAAAATACATAAATAGTTCCAATTAAGGAAATAGAATGTTGTATGAAAATGAAAAATATAAAACTAAGCAATAAATTCAATATTTATTATATAAAGGAAGAGCAGTTTAATATCCCAAATAAAGTTTCCAAAGTGTATAGTGTTCCACATATTATTTTTACAGCGCTACACATTATTAGAACTAATTAGTCATAGGGACAATGTACTTCCAATTAAAGCATTGCTTCAGTAACCTGCATTGCCATCTATAATGTTTAATATACTAATAAACTGAATCCTAAAAGAAAACAACCAAGTCTTTAAATATATTTTGGTTTAGTATACTCCAATTTTTCAAAATGTTACTTTGGAATAACTTTAATCTTTCTTCTTCCTAGCTTTTCCGATATAAAGAGACAAAACAAAAAAAAAAATTAACTTTAACCCAAAATCTAAGTCTAAGGAGACCAAATTATATAATAAAAGAGCATAAAACAACATATTTTCTTAAAACTAGGTGTGTCCATTTTTTAAAGATTACTAATTGAGATGTTACTGTCCCCTATTTGCTATTTCCACACAGGATGTTAGCAAACAACATTTAATTCAACATGAATGACATTTTTAAGTTTCCTAGGCACTTGTAAATAGTACACTCTGTTTTTAGCAAGAATTAAATAAAAGATAGCTATTAGAATGTACAGAAAGATTGGGAAGACCACAAACAAAAATAAATTTTTCAATGAAGCTTAATACTTCATGTACATTCATTTGATCATACTACTAACATGGACAGTAACAGAATGTCTGCAGTAAGTCCCATTTATTCAAGAATTTTGCCTTATCAGTTACTCAATCTGCAAGACAACCACATATCCCATGTTCTCTTCCACATATGTTGTTCTATGAAAGCATCAAGTAGCAGTTTCCTTTTATATTCTAAGAGTAATTAAATCCTATAAAATCATGTGTTTTACTATGTTATCTCATAAAAACTATGTGTCCATGATCACCTACTATATGAATTAAAAGTCCCCTCAATATTCTAAGGTAGAACTTGCTCCTTCTTCCATTTTTATTTGAATCTCCTGGAAAAAAAAAATAAAAACACTGAAATCATGGAAATTACAAAAACTGAAGTAATTTCAGGTGAAAAACTACCATGGCAGCTTTATGCAGTGTAAAATAGTCCAAAAAAAAAACAAAACAAAAACAAAAAACAAAGGCACATGTATATTTCCTTACCATTCTCCCAGCTGTCTTTTGTATTCAAAGAGCCTTTTTAGGCAAAAAAATTTATTCAGATGCAAAAACCATAAACAACAACCACTCCTAATTGGATAATAACCACTACCAAAGTAATTGCTAAACAGGACAAAGATATGATTGCAGGCACTTTCCTTAGGAATCACAAGACAAACTAAAACTTACAAACCATTTAGTTTTCTATTGCTAATTGTTTATAAAACAAGGGCAATGTTTTGTTACATGACCTTCACCACCTATCCTGACCACTTTGTTACCATCCAGAGCAGAGAAAGAGAGAGGGCAGAGAGCAGCAACTGAGGAATGCTTTCCCAGCTCCTTCATATCTCCACCATCTACAAACACTTCCTATGCAGAGAGGGAAACTGAGGCTAGACTTAGGAGCAGTGATCCAAGAACCCCATTTAATGACACTGAAATCATGTACCTTAATGCTCTTTCCCAAAACTTTTCAAATGTTTTAATTGTTAACTTTTATAACGTCTAAACTGCTAGAAGTTTTGGGAATTTAAAAACATGAAAAAAATACCACAAAGGAGGTACTATCGTCTCCTGCAAATAATAACATTTAGAACAAATTCAACTCAAGAAATTGGAATATTTGTAAAATCAAATTTAGAACAAATTCACACATATCAGTTTAAAAACAAATTTACTAAAAACATTAAAAAAAATGTTTAGCAATGCCCCAAATATAAAATAC